AGGTTTCACTCTTGCTGATGCTTACCTAGTGCTCATTTTGCACTCTAAGGTGGTCAGTGTGTTCCTCACACTTGTTTTCTCCTATCTCAGTAGCAGAGTTGAAACTGCCTTAATAGAGAGGACGGAGGAGAAAGGAGGAAAATGGGGTGTTAGCCACTGGTGGTTGAGGCTGCTCTGAAGTCCATGTGCCAGGTGCTTCTCAAAACCACCAGGAAGTAGGAGAAAAGTGCTTAAAATAATTGAAAAATCAGACCATGTTATTTTAAAGAATCCACTATCAGAAAAGGCTTAAAAATTCTCATTGCTAGTTAAACTGAAGAATATGTCTTTCAGGTATGTGTGGTTGTCTGAGAACTGCATGGTATAAAAGGAAAAAAGGCATATACTTTATTGGCTGCATTTAACCATTACAGCAGCATCTTCCTTGTACCTCCTGTTGCTCAGAGCTGAAGAGCAGCTTCTTTTGTCAGTTGTGGTAATAGTATCTCCAGATTGATAAATACAAACCAGCATTTGCGAAGCACAGCTTCACAAGCAGCACAGGGAGAAAGCTAGCCTATATTTGTGTCACTGTCTAGGGGACACTATTATTCTAATAATACCACAGTGTATTAAAATCCAATATCTGCATTTGATTTATGTATCTTGCACTGCACTGTACATTTAAGCAGCAAGGTGCTCGTATGAGATTAATTCAATGATACACCCATTAGCTGAGCAGAGGGCAAATTCCATTTTACCTTGTGGATTAAAGTTGCTGTTCTTCCACGGGTTACCTGTTAGTATTCTGATGTTTCTGTAGCTTAATGGCTAATCATCAGAGAGACACAAAATAATTGGAAAGGATTTCTTTATTGGAAGAGCATTTTGGGAAACATTTGGGCAGAACTAGACAGGACTTTGTGCAGAAGTATTTCATGGTCTCAAATTTCACAGCATAGTTGAGATGTCAGACTAACCTATACTGGGAATTTGTGCCCCAAAGGTGTACCTCAAACACTGATGCCTGCTGCTCTGATAGAGCAGGATAGATGGCTGTGTGTGATCACCCCTCGTCTATCACATGCGTTTTGCTTCATATATCCTGATTCATGTACTTGTAGCCAGTAGAGGATATATCAGAAATGGGCTCTTTCTCCATCCAACATTACTAGAAAGCTTTGCTTGAGTCACCTTGCATGATCCGTCTCACTAGCCCTGCTTCTAGGTGGAGGATGTCTAGGTGTCCCATCTGCTGGACAAAGTTTATTTGGCAGAGGGAATATTGTTTCCCTGTGTTAAGCAGCAGCATTTCTTTGATTTGTTTCCTCTTTTCCTCCTTTAAAGAACATATCCTGTTCAAGAGAAACCAGCTCTTACACCTGACAATAGACAATTACTCAAAACACAAAAATACATGGGCTATTTATCTATTTTCTCCTTTACATAAATTCAAAAATTTTCTGAATGTAGATGTGCTTTCCAGTAGTAAGTAATGAGTTGGAAGGTAAGGTTCAGTTACTGGCTTCCAGACAGCAAGCATAATGGACTGGTATGTGCCGCCTTCTGTGAACAGACATCAGATTACTCTTTTCCAAAGATGTTGCACAAGAGCAGGAAAGAATTTCCTACTATGAAAGGGAAGTCTTCGAAGTCTTCCAATAAGCATCTGTGTTACTTCTGTTTCCTTCCTGCAGTGAGGAATTAGGGTGGTCCTCTATTCTTGACCTAGCCCGATGAAATCCTCGTATTTTGCTTTCTTAGAATCATAGAATCATAGAATCGCTTTGGTTGGAAAAGACCTTTAAGATCATAGAGTCCAACCTTTAACCTAACCCTGCCATCCCACCACTAAACCATGTCCCTAAGCACCTCATCTATCCTTCTTTTAAATACCTCCAAGGATGGGGACTCTACCACCTCCCTGGGCAGCCCATTCCAGAGCCTGACAACCCTTTCAGTGAAGAAGTTTTTCCTAATATCTAACCTAAACCTGCCCTGGCGCAGCTTCAAACCATTCCCCCTCGTCCTATCATCTGTTACCAGGGAGAAGAGGCCGACCCCCACCTCCCTACAGCCTCCTTTCAGGTAGCTGTAGAGGGCGATCAGGTCTCCCCTCAGCCTCCTCTTCTCCAGACTAAACAACCCCAGTTCCCTCAGCCGTTCCTCGTATGACTTGTGCTCCAGACCCCTCACCAGCTTGGTTGCTCTCCTCTGGACATGCTCCAGCAATGCAACATCCTTCTTGTAGTGAGGGGCCCAAAACTGAACACAGTATTTGAGGTGCGGTCTCACCAGCACCGAGTACAGGGGCACGATCACTTCCCTACTCCTGCTGGTCACACTATTCCTGATACAGGCCAGGATGCCATCGGCCTTCTTGGCCACCTGGGCACACTGCTGGCT